ATCTAAACCCTACCAACCTTCTTCTGAGTGCACCTGTGTACAACTCCCCTTGTGTAGATTACGGAATTGGGCTTTTTCCATTCTGTGTCTTTCATCACTACTCTTCCTTCCACTCTGCCTTTAAGGAATGCACCCAAGTCTTCTTTCTGCTAATGCCCCAAGCACATTCTTTTCACTGTTACAGTTTTTATTCCTTGCTGACACTTTGATGAAGTCTCCAGGGTTTGAAGAAAACAATGCATCATTGACTCAGTCTACTGTCTGAAATCAAAGAGCTCAGCTGAGTTTGCAGTGTGCTATGTAAGCTTTTCTCCTCTCCCTCTCTTTCTCTTTCTTTGGTTTATAAATCACCTTCCTTTCTCTTTTCTGACAGCTCCTATCCCCTCTCTCTCTCCTATCAGAGCACCTTAACACTTGTCTCTAAGACAGACAAAAACCATCAGATGGAAGCCACCTCTTTTCCCACCCACATTCTCCAGTTCGCAAACATGCCTTTCTTCGTATCTATCCTCACCTCCTCTTTCTCTCCTGGAAGTGAAGCTCCGCTTTCTTCCTATCCTCAGTTGAGCCTTCAATCCAACCAGCTGTGTGGACTCTCTCCTCCCACCTCCACACTTATACCTTATCCACACGCAGAAGCCCAGTTCTGATCCCTTTCTCTCAGATTACATTTCTACCATTGACTGAAATCCTTCTTCACACACCTGGTTTCCTCAAATGCAGCATGTCCAAAGTTGGCATCTTTGTTTATCTGTGAAAACTCAGCTTCTTCGTATGTTCTGTCCAATTTGCTAAGTACCATGATACGTGGAGTCATTCCAACTACAAGTTTGTCTTTCTCCTTTCTCAAATTGTTCTAGAACTGCATTGACCAATACAGTAACTGCTCGCCACGCATGACTATTTATGTTGGAGTTTAATTAAAATAGAATACAATTAAAAATAAAGTTCCTTGGGAACACTAGGCACATTTCGTGTGGCTTATGGCTACCGTAGTGAGGCTAGAGAACATACCCGTTATTACAGGAGAGGAAGTTCTGTTGGATGGTGATCTGAGGAGTGGTAGCCTTTTTTGCTCCCACTTCACTGACAGTGTTTGAGCCCTCATTATTTCTCACATGCAGCTTTGACTCACTTCCTTTCTCTTCCTCATTCCACTCCATTCTCTTCTCTCATCAGATGATCTTATGAAGCCCTTTTCACTCTTTGGGAAGTCGTTGAGCTATAAGTAAGAGAAGCGGAGGGCTGGCGTTTTATTGTCATTTCCTTCCTTGAGCCTGTCAGAGCTGTTTTCTTCTTTATTAGCTTGTTAAACAACGCCTCAACCTTCAAGATTGAAGGCCAGCGTTGCCCACTCCGGGAGGCAGAGTAATGCTTCTTTCATGTGGTGACACTTCTTGTCGGGGTCCCTTCTCGTCCCACATCACGAGAAGTCTGGCTAGACTCTGAGCCCCTGAGACACAAGACTGTCCCCGTCACACTCCGTCAGGATTCCAGGAGACGTGACAGACAGACTCCTCTTCCAGGCCTTTAAAAGCAACCTGGCTACATATTTACTTTAGAAGAAGTAAGGAAATGGCCACTGAAATCATGTTCCATGTTCTGATGATGAAGAACTCCAGTGGGAAAGGCTATAAGGGTATCGGCACATGTATAAGTTCCTAGCTTAGACATGCTTTGATTTCTGGCAATCCCCAACTGAAAAGCATGTATTTCGTTGAGAGAAATATATTTTCCTTAATGAAATATCTTCAGTGAAAGATGAATATATTAGGTAATGACCTCAAACTTAGTGACATAAAACAACAACAACGCATTCTCTCACCATTCTGGAGTCTGCAAAATCACGGTGTTGGCGAGGCCGCACTTCCTCCATGGGCTCTGGAGGAGAAGCCTGTCTCACCTCTTCCGGCTTCTAGTCGCTCCCCCGGTGTCCTCTGATTTGTGACCACTGTCTGCTTCCATCTGTACACGGCCTTCTCTGTGTGTCTGTGTCTCAAATCTCCCTCTCTTTTTTCTTATAAGTAGATTTAGGGCCTGCCCCAATTCCAGGAGGGTCTCATCTTGAGATCCTTGATGTAATTACATCTACAGAGACCATATTTCAAAATAAGGTCCAATTCATAGACTAGGGGTTTAGAACTTGGATGTGTCTTTCAGGCAAGATACACAATTCAACTTACTGCAGTGGGTAAGAACAAAAGCAAGGATGCTAATAGCTGTCTCTCTCCCCTCTCCCAAGCCTTACCTAAGCTTACAGTCAGCAGATTGGTTTTAACCTTCATTTCTGTGCAAGGATTCATCTAAATTAAGATCCCACTTCCCAAGCAAGAGAGGAGAAAGGTCTTTTTAACTCAACTAGCTGTTTCTCATTCCATGAAGGCTCACTCCACTCCCTTCAGCTGGATATTTTTCACTCCTAACAATTATCATTAAGTAATAAAGCATAGACCAAAATAAACATGTTTATCATCCTTTAGTTTTCAAAGACATTCTCCTAGTTCAAAGCTTTTAATATGAAAATGAGTATTTAGACTCAGAATTTATTTGAGGCCTGCATGCCCACGCACAGACACACCATGGAAAATGACTAGAAGCTATCGTCTCTGTAGAGTAAGAAAGAACATAGGCACTTTTTTTGTCTTCATTTTCCGGTATCATTTAAATTTTCCACAATAGACATGTTGACTTTACTGACTAGAAGAAGAAACATTTTTTAAAACATGAGTAGTTTTAATGATGTTTTATTAAATGTCCAGGACCATGTTTTACTTTTTAAGAAGAGAGATGAGTGGACCAGTTGGGATTCTGGAGCCCCAGACTACTGATTGTTTGGGGAGGGATTCAGACACTCTTAGGGCTTCCCTGATAGCTCAGTTGGTAAAGAATACGCCTGCAATGCAGGAGACCTGGGTTCGATTCCTGGGTCAGGAAGATCCCCTGGAGAAGGGACAGGCTGCCCACTCTAGAATTCTTGGGCTTCCCTCGTGGCTCAGCTGGTAAAGAATCCGCCTGCAATGCATGAGACCTAGGTTTGATCCCTGGATTGGGAAGATCCCCTGGAGAAGGGAAAGGCTACCCACTCCAGTATTCTGGCTTGGAGAATTCCATGGACTATACAGTCCATGGGGTCACAAAGAGCTGGACACAACTGACCAACTTTCACTTCGCTTCAGACACTCTTTAGATTCGGCAGCGGTCGTAACACTGTTCCTTATTCAGGACCTCGTCAGACTTTGACAGCAGCAGAATCTGAAACCCGCGGTCTCCACCACAGTGGTTTTCCCGGTGCCAAGAAGCTGGCCTGATGGAAAGCCGCATCCTGTCCCTCGGCCGTGGGGCACAGAGAGGCACAGTTCATCAGGACCACTCTAGGACAAGCCCTGTAATCTCTCACCAGCAGTCCCATTTGACTTTGACAGCATATGTTTTTCTGGTGTTTAAACGGCTTTGAGGGCCGCCCTGTGTTGTTTTTGGGGACGAGGCACATTTCTGTTAACCCACAGTTACTGGACGCCACCGCAGAGCCAGCTATTGGGCACTTTTGAGCTGTTTCACCATTGAATGCAATTTGCTCCGAGGGAGTTTTCCTATCTTGGCTTCTCGTATGCTGATGAATTATTGAAATTTCAATTACTTTTGGTTCCTGATTTAACAGGGTGGAGACATCCAAGATATTAAAAATGAAAGCCCTCCAGTCGCTTTTAGACAGCGGTTTGCCTGGAAGGGTGTGGCCTTGGGGCCGGCAGACGGGCAGCTCTGCTCCTTGGTCTCTGAGACAGCGAGCGCCGTGTGGCCTGGGCCGCCCGCAGGTCACTGCTGCCAGCCGGGTGCGTCAGCATCACCTGGGCGCTTTTTGGACATGCAGACTCCTAGGTGTGGTCTCCACCTGCTGAGCAGGACCTCTGCGGACGGGGCCCTGGGCTCCGTTTTTTAACCAACCCTCTGGGCCATTCTGGTGCACTAATAGGTTGGGGAAACCCAGGCTTAGATGTCCTGGTGCTGATTCTTCCCGTGACGGTCTGGTGCCCATTTGTAAGGGCCCTTGGGTGCTGCGGTCAGTGTGCCCTTTAAGGCTGACATTGTATACAGTGATCACACTGTGACCAGGGTCATCGGAAAGACCAGTTTCTAATAATCATCTTCACTTGCTTGGGACATTTCTCCCTTTGGATGTCAGTGAGCCGTAACCATAGAGAAGCAGAGTTGGGACATTTAAATTCTGTGCAGCTAAATGTGTGTTCTAAATGTAATTGAGGGGGCTCTGGGTCTCTCCACACTGAAGGGCTAATTAGGTATTCCTTCCTACTGTCCCCAGGATAATCCCATCTCAAAGTCCCTTGGGAAGAAGCCGTGGGTACCAACTCCCTCTCATCACCATAGCCTCTCCTCTTTCCCAGAGCAGGTCTTTCTCCTACCCCATGCCTATTGAATAACTTGCAGTTCTTCAGACACCGTGTGTCATCCAAGTTGGTCTCCCCGCTCAGTGCCTCACTCATCTCGTCCACTGCAGCCCTGTCCACCTGGGAGGCTGTGATCAAAGACAGCTCCCCAGCGACTTCAGATGGAGTCATGTTCTTCCTCTTTCCTGCTTCCTACGCACCCACCCTGGATTGATATTTATAGCATGGGCGTGTGTTTGTGTTGAAATGATCTCTGTCCTCTGAACTCCACACAAGTACAAATTTCATCCTGGGTTCCATTTCTTGTGCCAGACACAGAAGACTGAGTAAGTGAACATCCCTTAAAGATGGCCCTTCTCCTTGTGCCAGAAGCTTCCAGCACCGTAGAACACACGTCCCCCTCCAACCTGTGAAGGGCAGATGCTGGCCAGCCCATGGCAGGTCCAGTTAAGAAGAGCAGTGCCCTTCGTGTGGGCTCAGCTGACTTCGGATTTTAGGGAAGCTGGTTTCTTCATGTAGATGAAAGCTTTGCCCTCCCCACTTCTGCTCTTTGGGCGGGGGAGCCTACCGCCGTGTCTGAAGGTGTTGTCATTTCAGGTTCGAGAGCTTCAGACCCGACTGCAGAGCGTGCAGGCCACGGGCCCCTCCAGCCCTGGCCGCCTCGCTTCCGCCAACCGCCCCGTTAACCCCAGCACCGGAGAGCTGAGCACGAGCAGCAGCAGCAACGACATCCCCATCGCCAAGGTGCGCCCGGGGACGCCGCTGAGCGCGGCAGCCCAGCCTCCGTGGGGCGGCGGCCCAGCCTCCGTGGGGCGGCGGCCCAGCCTCCGTCGCAGTTAGCCCAGCGGCCCCGAGGGCTCCCAGGGCCCTGCGTAGGCCTCCCTGCTGGAGCTGCAGGAGGAGATAGCCACTAATAGTTCTAAGTCTCTCTTGGCTGCAGCCTGGACGCCAGCTCTCATTAATCAGCGGGCCAGAGCCTGTCCCAGCCGACAGGTCGTTGTGGAGAGTGAGATGTTCTGTCACAGGCTGGATAGAGAGTGCTCTCCAGGATCATGGTTCAGCCCAGAAGGGAGACCCTGAGTAATGCGCTAATGATCTGCCCACTCCCAGAACTGACAGCCCTGCCAGCAGGAAAATAGATGACAATGATGGGCAGGCCCCAGCAGCTGTGAGAAGTAGCCCCTCCATTCTCAGCCACAGCCCCCGACCCCCTTCCTATGTTGAGTCCACCCGAGAGAGACTGTTCACATGATTACATGTCCTTTTCCCAGTAGCCCTGCCAGTCTCTGCAACAAGGTTAGTTGTCAACCATCAAGTTTATGAAGTCTTCACCAGTGCTCCTCAGCCAGAACTGATTTTTGTCCCAAGGGCTATTTGGCCATGTCTGCACACCTTTTCGATGGTCACACCTGGAGTACTGTGGCTAGAAGCCAAGGGTGCTAGTGAACATCTCATAGTGCACAGAACAGTCCCCCACTGCAAAGAATATCCAACTCAAAATGTCAGTGGTACTAACTCTGAAAAACCATGAGTTAATAAGCAGGTGGCAGAAAAATCAGACACGTGAGTCGTTTTTAAGAACTGATGGTTTAGTTGCCATAGTTCAAGAGTAGCCCTGTATAAACACAGTCTCAGTAGTTTATATGGGGAGTGGCGTGTGTTGTTTTTTGATCATTTGTTTTGTTTTGGTTTTTTTTTTGTTAAGATCGCCGAGAGGGTGAAGCTCTCCAAGACCAGGTCTGAATCTTCGTCATCTGATCGGCCAGTCCTAGGCTCAGAAATCAGCAGCATTGGGGTGAGTGTGAGTGTTCATGAGAAGCAAACTGACATGTCACATAATAGAACAGAACTGACAGCCCTGCCAGCAGGAAAATAGATGACAATGATGGGCAGGCCCCAGCAGCTGTGAGAAGTAGCCCCTCCATTCTCAGCCACAGCCCCCGACCCCCTTCCTATGTTGAGTCCACCCCAGAGAGACTGTTCACGTGATTACATGTCCTTTTCCCAGTAGCCCTGCCAGTCTCTGCAACAAGGTTAGTTGTCAACCATCAAGTTTATGAAGTCTTCACCAGTGCTCCTCAGCCAGAACTGATTTTTGTCCCAAGGGCTATTTGGCCATGTCTGCACACCTTTTCGATGGTCACACCTGGAGTACTGTGGCTAGAAGCCAAGGGTGCTAGTGAACATCTCATAGTGCACAGAACAGTCCCCCACTGCAAAGAATATCCAACTCAAAATGTCAGTGGTACTAACTCTGAAAAACCATGAGTTAATAAGCAGGTGGCAGAAAAATCAGACACGTGAGTCGTTTTTAAGAACTGATGGTTTAGTTGCCATAGTTCAAGAGTAGCCCTGTATAAACACAGTCTCAGTAGTTTATATGGGGAGTGGCGTGTGTTGTTTTTTGATCATTTGTTTTGTTTTGGTTTTTTTTTTGTTAAGATCGCCGAGAGGGTGAAGCTCTCCAAGACCAGGTCTGAATCTTCGTCATCTGATCGGCCAGTCCTAGGCTCAGAAATCAGCAGCATTGGGGTGAGTGTGAGTGTTCATGAGAAGCAAACTGACATGTCACATAATAGAACCACACAGTGGCTTATCCATGATAGAAGCACTGCCCAGGGTCCCTCCAGTCAACCAGGTGATTGTAATAAGAAATCATACCTGATTTCCTTCCAAAGGATCAGATTAAAATGCTTAATGGTTTGCCAGTGGTGAATTACCCCTTCAGCTTTAAAGGGAGCTTCTTGTTTCTCTAGTTGAAACCATTCAGAAAGAAATGATTGAGGTCTTGTTACTGGCAATACAGATGAAAGTCTTGAAATACTTGCTTTATATCACCCTGCTTCCCCAGAGACCAAGTGAGTCAGGAAGCTCTAAGAGAACTTGACTATCCTCATGTCCCTCTTGAAAGGGAAGGTGCTCTCCAGTGGGAAGGATCGCTGCCTTTGAAGTGTGGCTGATGCTGGGACAGACAGGAACCTTCTAGCTCAGTTCTGGAGTTCTCATTTGTAGAGTGCCGAATACCCTGGGGCTATCGCTTCTCGGCCTTTTGGCTAAGATCAAGTGCGAATACCCTGGGGCTGTGAACTGATGTATAGTGAAAAGAGAATAATTTCAGTTCCCTGGGGATATCTTTGAGGATTCGGGGGTGAGGCTGGAAAATCCAGTTGTTTGATCCTCGTTAATGTTGCTCAATTGCCCAGTCGTGTCCGACTGTTGCAACCCCATGGACTTCAGCACGCCAGGCCTCCCTGTCCCGCACCATCTCCCGAAGTTTGCCCGAGTTCATGTCCATTGCATCGGTGATGCCGTCCAGCTATCTCATCCTCTGATGCCCTCTTCTCCTTCTGCCCTCAATCATTCCCAATATCAGGGACTTTTCCAATGAGTCGACTTTTAGCCTCACATGACCAAAATATTGGAGCTTTAGCATCAGTCCTTCAGGGTTGATTTCCCTTAAGATTGACTGGTTTGACCCATAGGGATGGGGAAAACACAAACAGCCCTTTTAAGGCCCTATTTTAGAATTTTGCACTGGGCAGAAATTGCAGGCACCCAGCTTCCATGCCAAAGCCGAATTATGAAAGTGAAGGAATGGGATGTTCACCTTAGCTACAACAACCATGAGACAAGATTTGAGGGTGGCAATGGGTTTAGGAAGGAGAAAGGGTGTCCAGACTATTTAATATGCAAAATTTTAGGTCCCAAGACTCAGGATCTTTCATCCTGCTGCTCAGAGGATCCTGAGCTTAGGTGATGCAGTTGCATTCTGACCCTGTTTATGTACTGCATTCACAGTAGTTAACTTTTTATACTAGGATCATATTATAGAAACTGAAAAGTATCTGGGTAGCTATCTCCTGGTGCCCAATTCTCAAGGAACATTGGCTTTAAACTGTTTAAAACTTAACGGTCTAAATTGGGAAGCAAGGGCCTGGGGCCCAGCATCCCGGAAGTGGCTTTGTCCAGAGGGGAATTAATGCTCACCTGTCCAGGTGTCCAGCAGTGTGGCAGAGCACCTGGCCCACTCTCTCCAGGACTGCTCCAACATCCAGGAAATCTTCCAGACTCTCTATTCCCATGGATCTGCCATCTCGGAAAGCAAGATTAGAGAGTTTGAGGTGGAAACGGAGAGGCTGAACAGGTAAGGAGGAATCCTGTGTGTTTGGTGGTGGTGTTGAGGGGAAACCAGTCCCTTCCCAAAGCCCCGCTGAGGCTGGCTCATGAATCAGGGCTGGGTGTGACGCTGGCGAGCAGGCAGGCGGGATTTGCACCGCCCTGCCCCGCACAGGAGGCCGGCTCTGTGGCCTCCCGTGACCTCGTCAGCTGCACGGGCCTGGTGCCTAGAGGGAGGCCACCCTTGCTTCGCTGCCCTGCTGTCACTGTCTTAAGCGTTAGTTGTACTGTTTTAAATTCTTAATAACTTATGAACCAGGGGCCCTGTCTTCTTTCTTTTTTAACACGCTGCTGTATTTGTTTATCTACTTATCTTTGGCTATGCTGGCTCTTCATTGCTGCCCTCGGACTTTCTCTAGTTGCAACTCCTGGCTTCAGCGCACAGGCCCCTCTTGGCTCCAGTAGTCACAGTGTACAGGCTCAGGAGTTGTGACACGCAGACTCCACTGCCCTGCGGCATCTGGAATCTTCCGAGACCAAGGATCGAACCCATGTCCCCTGCATTGGTGGTCGCATTCTTACCCCCTGTACCCCAGGGAACCCCCCGCCCCCTTTTCCCTGTGCGCTGGCCCTAACAAACTAAGGAGCAGTCCGTGTGGAATGACAAGTAGGTCGGGATGGCAAGATGGCTCCCTAGCGTGCAGGCTGGAGCTACTGAGAACCGGAGACAGCAGCTCTGGGCTGTGGAGTCGGCAGAAGGGATCGGATCAAGACATTCCTGGGGTGGACCGGGCACGCTGGTCTGACCCTCCCTGCTCCAGTCAAGGGTTGCCTCATTTTGTTTATGCTTTTCGCAAATGTGTACAGCCTCCCATCCCTACATCCTATCCTACTTAGTTCAGATTTTCTAAGTAGGTCTAACTGCTTAGAATAATTTAACTGTGTGCCCTGTTTTATGGGTTCTTCCCAGATCTTATGACAGAGGTGGTTTGAGTTTGTCCTGCCTCTTTGGCAAAGACTGGCTTGTATATCACCCCAGCAATGAAAGAGGTTGTTAAGAAAACAAAAGAGAAGGAGCAGGGCCCAGCCGTGGTGGCTGCTCTGACTCAGAACTGGCCCCACAGTGGTTGAATGGCAGCCGAGCCTGCGGCGCCTGCCCTCACCCAGCCGTCTTCAGGGGGCTGCCTAGTAAGGACTGGAGAGGCTTGTGAGCCAACCCGTAAGAAGCATGGATGCCGGTCCCCACCCACCATCGCTTCATGCCATTCCCCTTGTGTATGGCAAACCTGAATAAATTGCATTATCCTGTTAGCCCTCCCTGATTTGAAGCTGTTTAATATAGTACATGAGGACCAAGGAAATGTGGCAGTCTAGGTCATTTAAATCTTGAAATTAAATGGTTTCCTTATTAAATCCAAAATACTTAAGAGTGACAATCCTGATGATTACCTTGTAGCAGTAACTTAAGAGTGACAATCCTGGTGGTTACCTTGTAGCAGTAGCTTAAGAGTGACAATCCTGGTGGTTACCTTGTAGCAGTAGCTTAAGAGTGACAATCCCGGTGGTTACCTTGTAGCAGTAGCTTAAGAGTGACAATCCCGATGGTTACCTTGTAGCAGTAGCTTAAGAGTGACAATCCTGGTGGTTACCTTGTAGCAGTAGCTTAAGAGTGACAATCCCGGTGGTTACCTTGTAGCAGTAGCTTAAGAGTGACAATCCCGGTGGTTACCTTGTAGCAGTAGCTTAAGAGTGACAATCCTGGTGGTTACCTTGTAGCAGTAGCTTAAGAGTGACAATCCCGGTGGTTACCTTGTAGCAGTAGCTTAAGAGTGACAATCCCGATGGTTACCTTGTAGCAGTAGCTTAAGAGTGACAATCCTGGTGGTTACCTTGTAGCAGTAGCTTAAGAGTGACAATCCCGGTGGTTACCTTGTAGCAGTAGCTTAAGAGTGACAATCCCGGTGGTTACCTTGTAGCAGTAGCTTAAGAGTGACAATCCTGGTGGTTACCTTGTAGCAGTAGCTTAAGAGTGACAATCCCGGTGGTTACCTTGTAGCAGTAGCTTAAGAGTGACAATCCCGATGGTTACCTTGTAGCAGTAGCTTAAGAGTGACAATCCTGGTGGTTACCTTGTAGCAGTAACTTAAGAGTGACAATCCCGATGGTTACCTTGTAGCAGTAGCTTAAGAGTGACAATCCCGATGGTTACCTTGTAGCAGTAGCTTAAGAGTGACAATCCTGGTGGTTACCTTGTAGCAGTAACTTAAGAGTGACAATCCTGGTGATTACCTTGCAGCAGTAAAGAACCAGTGCTCTCAGTATCGCAGGCAGGGGAGTGCTAAAAACGGAATCAGATAGGCCCTTTGCAATTGAGTGAAGTCAGATACGTTCAGGGGCCCTCTGCGTAGGAGGATCTCCTCTCAGCAGATTCTGGGATTTAACAAGCCTGCTTTGTGGTTGAATTGAGGGGAGTCCTTTCTCTTCAATGATATGCACCGAAAAGAGACCAAAGAAGGGGGAACTATTTGGTGCTTGTAGCTCACACTGTCATGGAGTTTAACAGCTTTCCAAAGACTCTCACAGACAACCCTAAATCCTCAAGTTGGGAGGGCAGAATAGCCCCATTTTGCAAATTAGAAAGCAAACATTTTCACACTGAATGACTTGCCTCAAGTCCAGAGCTATTAAATAGCCCAGCTGGTCAACCCCTGCCTGTCCACCTCTTCTCCATTGTTTTCTGTATTATCACAGCTACTGCTAGAAATTGGGAGTGCTTGTAAATTATCTACCAATATGTTCTGATATCTTTTATTTAACTACCTATCTCAAAGTCGGAGTCCTATTACACTCTAAAAGTATGACAGCCTTTAACTTGTGTTTGTATGTGAGTGGGTCATGCCTACTCAAAAGTATTGTTGATTTTTGGGCTTCCCAGGTGGCGCTAGTGGTAAAGAACCTGGCTGCCAGTGCAGGAGATTTAAGATACGCAGGTCGGGAAGGTCCCCTGGAGGAGGAAATGGCAACCCACTCCAGTATTGTTGCCTGGAAAATCCCATAGACAGAGGAGCCTGGCGGGCTACAGTCCACAGAGTTGCACAGAGTCGGACACGACTGAAGCAGCTTAGCACACAGCATGCAGATATAAGCACCTACCGTATGCTGGGCTCTTTGGATGCCAAAGAAAGTAAAACAGACAAGATTTCATGGAGCTTATATCCTGTTAAGGAAGCTAAGCAAAAACAGACCAATAAGAACATGAGAAAGCTCCAAGTAAATATGACACTGTGACGAAATAAAAGGTAGCCTTGATTTTAGGTACAAAGACAGGGAAGGCATCTCTGAAGGGGGGAAATAGCAATTGAGATTTTTTAGGCGGGAAAAGGAACAGCCATGTGACAAACCAGGAAGACTCTTAAGGGCCAACTTATCAACTTCAAGGCTGGGAAGTGCTGGCATGAAGTCTGAATTGCCCCAATCCCAACTGAAACAGAATGAGTGAAAGGATGAACCCCATCACAAGTGGTGAAGTAGTCAGGGCTAGGTGTGCTGTGGGATTTGAGGTCATAGACAAAGTGCCGCTGGAAGTCGTTAAGGCGTTTTATGTAGGAGAAGAACAGACTTGATTTAACTTTTAAAAGTTCACTCAGATGTGCAGAATGGAAAGGGGTGGGCAGGGGTGGAAGCTGAGCCAGTTCTGCAGTGAACGAGCGCGGCCAAGTAGGCCGTTTGAAGGGGTCATTGTATGTGTGGTGATAAAAATCCACAGATGTATAAAATAAGGGACAGTCTCAAAGAAGATTCGCAGATGTCTTACCTCTGTTGTTGGGTGTATGGTGGTGGCATTTACTGAGATGGGGAAGATGGAGGAAGTTATGGTTAGAGGAAAGTCAAGAATCCCATGTTGAGGTGTCTGTGAAACCCTAGATATGTGAGACTGGCACTAACGAGAGGTGTGAACTGAGACTCTGGGACCCATGGGAACATAAATGCCTGTGAAAGTCATGGGACGGGATAAAAGCGCCCTCAGGGGAGAGTGCTGATAGAGGAGTGGACCTGGGACTGAGTCCTAAGGGGATGTCAACCGTCACAGATTATGTAGAGAAGAGGGACCCAGCAGAGGAGACAGGAGAAATAATAGCCTTTCGGCAGGGAGAAAACCAGTAAACACCTGTCATGACCCAAATGAAGGAGAATGTTTTAAAAAAGGTAGGAGCCGTCGATACAGGGGTGCTGTTTGAGAAAGACCACATGGAGGTCTGGGAGCTGGGTAAATGGTTTCATCTGATTAGCAGGGACTGAATGTAACTGGAGCAAGTCAAGAAGTGAATGAGAGGGTGGGAAGTCTCTGAAGAGGCCATCATGTGAACAAAGACAGAAAACTGTATCCTGTAACACCTTACGTTGAATTGACCTTGTTGTTGCCAAAGCCACGCAATGGTCTTGGTTACATGTGCTAAGATGCGTGGTCCTAAAATTGATCCTCAATTGGAAGCAGATGGCTTCCAAGCTCTTAACATTTTGTGTGTGTGAAACCTTATGTCTCTTTAAGACTTGGTGATCAGAATACTGAAGATGGGCATGTCCTGTGGGGAGATGCATCATTGCATCCAGAGCATCAGTGTTCTGGGACAGAAAACAAAGGCTGAAGGCTTTCCTAATCTGCTTTCTAACTTTGCCATAAACTCTTTGGCCTTGAATTTACAGTTCTGATTTTTATAAAATTTATCCTTATCCGCTGACTATGCTGCCGGTAGTTAGCAGTTAGGGGACTGTCCGAGCTGGACAGAGCTTTGGATACACTCCACAGTTGCCGCTCAGGCACCCCTTAAGTGCAGTTTCTTCTTCACGCATTGATTCATCCTTTGCTCCTGCCCTGTCGTGAGCATTCTGAGTCAAGGATCTGGGGTCAAACTGGGGTCACACTGGTTCAGAGCTCAAGGATAAATATTTCTGTGCCTCCTCTGAGAAATGAAGATACTAATACTTAATTCAAAGGGCTGTTGGGAGGGTTACTGAGCAAGGGCTTAACAAATAGTAGCTCTGTGAGGGTTGCTTTTCATTTGTCCTCGTGGAGGGTGGAGGGTGGAGGGTGGTTTATTGGAGCATCTGAGTCTTAACTCTCATGAAGGTTAGTGCTCCTTACCATGGTGTATCTCCCAAGCCTGGCAAATGGCTCATCCATGACTGGTTCTGAAATAACCAGGGGGAAATTTTTATTTCTAATTCACACAGAATTTAATGATTCTTCAGCTTTGAGTTGCTTCCTTTATTACTTCTCATCAGTTGCATTTGCTAAAACATCTGATGAGCTCATATCCTAACATGCATTTTGGCCAGAATCTAGAGTGGATGACTAAAATCTTGGCAAACGCATTGTAATCCTAGTGTAAAATTGTGAATGTGACTTTCCTTCCTTTGTAGCCGTATCGAGCACCTCAAATCCCAGAATGACCTTCTGACCATAACGCTGGAAGAATGCAAAAGCAACGCCGAGAGGCTGAGCATGCTGGTGGGGAAGTACGAATCCAACGCCACGGCGCTGCGGCTGGCGCTGCAGTACAGGTGGGCGGGCGGCAGGCCACTTCCGTTCAGGAGGGTGTCCACAGCAAGCTTCTGCACAAAGGCGGAAAACAGGGTTTTAGAAAATGTCACTAGAGGACTGGACCAGCAAATGCTAGTGTGATAAATATTAAAAATCAGTTAGCACCCTGAAAATAAGGATGATGAGTGTGGTATTAGTAAAACAGGTATGTTTCTGTTAGCAATGTTCAACTGAAATATTATTTCATTTAAGTAATATCACTCACAGGCTTCCCTTTGGCAGTGGCAAAGAATCCGCCTGCCAGTGCAGGAGATGGGGGTTCGATCCCTGGGTTGGAAGATCCCTTGGAGGAGGAAATGGCAACACACTGCAGTATTCTTCCTGGGAAATCCCATGCACAGAGAAGCCTGTTGGGCTACAGAATCAGACACGACTTAGTGACTAAACAACAGCGTCACTCAAAACATCAATTTTTGTGTTACATGTTCACTTCTTGTTCTTCCAGTCTTTTTTTCCCAGACTTTTCTTATGTTCATATTTTATTCTGCATTGTGGTAAATCTAATGCATTCTCCTCCTTCATTCAGTTTGTTAAACTGTTATATTATTGCTTAAAAGTCTCCATTTATTTAGACTGACTGTATCCTTCCATCAAGTTTATATGGCATTATTACTTATTTCTCTAAAAGACATTTAGACTCTTGCAGACTCTTGATATTGAAAATAATTCTATGGTGAATAATTTAATACAAAACTTGTCATTCTTGTATTTTCCTTGTGATAAAATCCCTTGAGCAGGAATTATAGATCAAAGGATATGAATATTTTCATGTCTTTCAGGCATGCTGCCAGTTTTTTTCCCATTAAAAAAAAAACAATTTAAATGAATGTGATTCATTCATTGATGAGCAAGTGGTATATGAATGTACCACTTTTTTTTTTTTTCAGCTTCATCAGCTTTGGAATTTATCTATTTTTAAATTACTACTTATTTAATAGCTACGAAACTCAGCTTTATTATTGTTTTCATAGACTTATTATATTAGTGTCACCACTTAGGCATATTTACCAAAGTTCCAGAGTAATGACTGCATCTTATTCTTGGCATCCTCTCAAAGAATTCAGCATTGTTTTAAGAAACATTGCTTCTTCAAAAAATATATATATATATCAAACCAAAATATAGGAGACCAAAGCTGGAGAGCAATCCTGGTAGTTTACAGACACACCAGAGCAAACTGATAATCCTCTGTGGCCGCTCTTGAAACAGGCTCTCTGCACCCTCAGTCTCCCTTTCATCTGCACAGAAGAAGCAACGTCCCAGCATCTCTAACTTGACAGACCAACTGCCCTTGAGAAGGGGAGCTGCCTGCACCCAGAGGCAGTCATGGACTCTTTCCTGTCTCTTAGTAAAGGAACTTGAAAGTAAAGACAATTTTTAAAAAATCGGTTGACTAAGTGTTGAGTAAAGCCACATTTCCCCTGCCCAGCTTGGAGAAGCTCATCAATTCTTTCCTTGGGGTGATTTTCACTACTGCAGGCATTTGGCCAGGATGACTCAAGCATTATACACACACTCCATCCAGTGCAGACGTGGGTCCCTGTGGGGCCACGGGCAGCGGTGGCTTTCCAGAGGTCGCTGTTTGATCCTCTGTCTGTGTGCCCGAAGAGAGAGCACCACAGTCAGCTCTTGTCAGAGATTGTGTGAGTGTTGCATGACACAGCTTTACAAGCCTCTGGCAGAACTTTCTGTGATGATGGAGCTGTTCTCTGTGTTATCCAGTACGGCAACTGCTAGCCACACATGGCTTTTTCATTTAAATATTCACATGTGGCCAGTGGTCACTCTATTGAATAGGCAGGTCTCAGTTAAAACAGTCCCCTTGGGCTGCTATATGGATTACCTGTTATTGTATAACTGTTTAGTATGTCAAAGCTTCTGGGGTCAGGAATCTGGGAGTGATTTGTCTAGGTGGTTCTGGCTCTAGGTCTCTTGAGTTTTTGGTCAAGCTCTCAGCCAGAGCTGCATCAGCTTAATTGGGGCTAGCAGATCTGCTTCGAAAGGATTCGAGTAGAATCTTCGGTCCTTCACTGGCGATTGTCTGGCGCCTTAGTTCCTAACCACACGGGCTGCTCCATAGGGCTGCTCAAGGGTCTTCAAGACGTGGCAGCTGGCCTCCTCTGAGAAGGATGATCCAAGAGGAAAGGTTAGGGAGGAAAGAGAGAGAAAGACCAAGATGGAAATCATCTCGTTCTTTAATAACCAACCTCGGATGTGGTAACCCATCACTCTTGCCTTATTGTCTTAGTCACACAAACCAACCCTGCAACCTTGTGGAAGGGGATTACACAAGGTGTGGCGATCCAGGTGGGCGGGGAGCACCCAGAGGGCTGGTCGCTGTATCACCTTTCCCTTTGAGCCGATCATCAAAGGAGCAGCAGACTTGCCCCTCTCATCTTCATTGCTTCCCTTGTATTTTTCTAGATCATAGTCTAAAGTTTTGTTTTGTTTTTTCAAAGCAGGGCAGGGAGGGGGCCACAAGGCAGAGCAAGCCCCTGACTGCCCATGAGTACCTGTGGGCGTGTCCTTGCCGACCCGGGCAGGAGGCTGAGCTCAGCCCTGCACCAGGGGACTTGCTTCCCCCCCCCCCCCCCCCCNCCGACCCCGAGCTGACGGCGCCATGTGCTTCTGTTTCAGCGAGCAGTGCATCGAAGCCTATGAACTCCTCCTGGCTCTGGCCGAGAGCGAGCAGAGCCTCATCCTGGGGCAGTTCCGGGCGGCCGGTGTGGGGTCGTCCCCTGGTAAGTGTGGCCGGGTCCCTCTAGCCCCTGCTCACCGTCCCCCAGCCTCTTTTGGTCTCCTGCCCCCCATCTCGGCTGTTGGCACTGGCACGCCTCCCAACAACATGAAATTCACTTGTCAAGTGTGTTTTTCATTTCTTCCTCATGACCGAGTGAGTAAATTGTTTATGTTGAATGCAGCAGGAACTGAAGTGGAAACAGCATTACAGACAAGTTAAAACAAACAGGCCGTCTCAGGAAACATACTCCCCCAGGCCAACTCTAGGAGAGGCCCAGGTTCGCCCTGAAAAGGACCAGCTCTCCCACGGCCTCCCTGTGATGCTGGTGCCTGAGGGTCCCTGTGCTGCCCACAAGGCCTTTGCCTCATCTGGCAGTGCATTTTCTCCAGGTTTGTTCATTTGGATTCAAACGAACATGGGTTCCTCCTACCTGCTATCCAGATGACACAGGAATGCAGAGGAACGTTTCACACCTTGTTATCTTCAGCCTCACCAACTGCCAACCCCGGGGGCCTGCTGCCCACCTCCCCTCCCCCACTCCGGGGGTCATGCATCCCCCAGGGTTGGCATCATTTGTCCCTCCAGACCCACACCACGCCCCCACCACTGTGCTCCAGGGCTGAGTAACTAGAAAGGCTATGAACTGAAAAAGACACAAGCAAGGCATCCTAGTCACCGTCATTTGCCAAAACTTCACCCTTGACGATGACTGTGGGCCTTGAGATAACATGGGGACGCTGACAGTAGAAACAGTGTTTAGAAGGAAACAGAGATTCAGCGACAGAGGCCCCTGGTGCTGGGGCTTCCTGGCTCCCTCAGCCTACACTGTAGCTTCTCCTGAGAAACCACGGCAAGTGAACAAAAACTGACCAGACGACTTAAGTCAAAGGTAGGCACTCTGCGCAGGCTGGCAAGCAGGCCACCCGTCATGACTCGCTTTTCCTCCTAGGCTGTGAGCCCATATTAAGGCTGGTCCTTCCAGGACATACCTTGCAAAGAAAGTCCCGTCGGGGTATCTCCTGAGTGCATCTCCCGTCCTCCTTGCCAGCTCTTCCCTCCCTGCCCAGTCTTTAGCTTTCCTTTTTTTTTAAAAATACGACCTGATGGAATTCCAGTTGAGCTATTCCAAATCCTAAGAGATGATGCTGTGAAAGTGCTGCACTCAATATGTCAGCAAATTTGGAAAACTCAGCAGTGGCCACAGGATTGGAAAAGGTCAGTTTTCATTCCAATTCCAAAGAAAGGAAATGCCAAAGAAGGCTCAAACTAACATGTACTCGTCTCACATGCTAGTAAAGTAATGCTCAAAATTCTCCAAGCCAGGCTTCAGCAGTACATGAACCGTGAATTTCCAGATGTTCAAGCTGGTTTTAGGAAAGGCAGAGGAACCAGAGATCAAATTGCCAACATCTGCTGAATCATTGAAAAAGCAAGAGAGAGCCAGAAAAACATCTACTTCTGCTTTACTGATTATGCTAAAGCCTTTGACTGTGTGGATCACAATAAACTGTGGAAAATTCTGAAAGAGACCTGCCTCTTGAGAAACCTGTATGCAGGTCAGGAAGCAACAGTTAGAACTGGACATGGAACAATAGACTGATTTCAAATAGGAAAAGGAGTATGTCAAGGCTGTATATTGCCACCCTGCTTATTTAACTTATATGCAGAGTACATTATGAGAAACAGTGGGCTGGATGAAGCACAAGCTGGAATCAACATTGCTGGGAGACACTTCTGGGCATACACACCGAGGAAACCAGATCTGAAAGAGACACGTGCACCCCAATGTTCATCGCAGCACTGTTTATAATAGCCAGGACATGGAAGCAACCTAGATGCCCAT